CCGCACTGTATATACCGCGCATTATAATTGTAGAGCCGACTCCACCTGTACGCACGGCCTTCAGACTACACAAGCGCGCCAGCCCTTCTAAGGGTAGGCCGCAGAAAGTGCCGACGCCCCGTCCTTCTAAGGATAAGGTAGTCAGGCCGTTGGAACCACGAACGAAGGCCACGCGACACCCGTAGCATTTAAGATCTGTTCTGTTCCGCTTAGAATAACCATAGTTGCTTGCATGCGAACCTCGCGAACGCAGAACACGTCCGCATGAGCCACGCTCGCTTCACGAGCTCCCCGCGCACCAGCCACACGCGAAACTCTGTACGCACCGCTCCCGCATGTTGCATTGTACTTATAATACAGCTCAGTGTTAGATGTTGAGAATCGCTTAAATAAACATAATTGTTTAAACCGCTTATACCGAGGTCAAGTAAGTTGGAGTTTCCCCCTTCTCCCGAATCCTGGCACCGGCGAGCCTTGATCCGCGGCATACGGGAAAGGTGAACCGTTACAAAATATGTGCAGAAATGGTCTCTGATAGTAGCAGCTCTATCAGTACAATGATTTCCGTATTGATATGATATACTATCCAAATTTGATTGGATCCTATCAGAAGTATTACTTCTCAATTCTGAAGAGATATAAGAATGTGCTTTCTTTTTTAGTAAAAAATTATGTAGGATACAACAAGTATACGCAATCAATTCTACTTTTTCCACTGAGAGAGATATAGTATTCAGAAGAATACGAAATCTATTAGCCATAATGCCAAAGGCATTTTCTACCGTTCTACGTGCTGTTCTCAATCTATAGTTAAAAATTTTCTTTTCATTAGTAAAAACGCGTCCAGGATATGATTTCATTATGTTTGTCTTAAGAGGGAAAGCATCGTCTGCTACAATCACATATGGTACGTTAACATCGTATCCAGGCAAAGAGGATGGCAAAGGAAAATTTAATGTTCCAGAATACAATTGTGCAGCCAAAGGACTTTCTTGGAATACAGAAGCATCATGCATGCGACCATTTCTTCCTACATCCACAAATATGAAATTGTATTCAGCATCCACAAGAGCAAGAAGGACTATGCTATCTTTTCCTTTATAATTTCTATATATAGAACCTGCTTTTCTTGGTGGTCGGAAATTAATATGTGTTCCATCTAATGAACCTATACAATGCGGAAATTACCACAATGTAATTAATTTCTCTGCCAAAACTTGCCATTCTACTCGATTAGATGGGCAATTGAAAGCTCTATCTTCAAGTACTTTAACAATAGCTCTTAATGTCTCAGGTATTAATTGAGATAATGTATTAGGAGCGATTCGTACTGAATATGACAAATCCTGGAATGAATTTCCTGTGGCAAGATATCGCAATGTAATACTTAATCGGTCTCGGGCAGGGATAGCTTGCCTCATTACAGTATCTTTCTTTTCAATTAGAAATGCAACAGCATGTAATAACTCCTCAAGCACAAGTTGTTCCACACGTACATAATTTTGGAAAGAGCTTGGATCTTCAATACTACACAATAAATAACATAACTTTAAATTAAAACCAAAGAATAATAAATTGAAAGGCAAATTCAAATGCAAGCAAGCCATCGACATTACAAATGAGAATTGAAATATGTTAATGTATAAATGTATATATATACATATGTATATATTACAAATCTCAGTTCTTTATGTAGCATTGTTAAAGTATTGCAAATTGTATTTCTACGTTGCAGCCATTATCTGACCCAAACCTTTCTTTTGTCTTGTTGCTTTTTTCTTTCTCTTTCTACAATAAGAAGAAGAGCAACTGCAGCTAATTTTCGTCTTTTTGCAGCTTCCATTAGGTGAAGAAGATATTGCCTATAAATATTATTGCACACAAATATAAAGAAAATAAGTTTTATACACACACACACACCACACATACATATGTGTGTATGTATGTATTTATGTATGAATATATGATTATATTATGTATATGATTATATATGAATAATTATGATTATATATGTATAATTATGAATATATAATTAAAATCACTATTTATTTATTATGGAAGAATTAATAAAATTTTTAAAATTTTATTAGGTTAGGAAATCTGTCATTTTTAATTAATTATATACATATTCAATTAATATCACCATAATTATAAATAAAATACATAATTACTTATATATATATCTTTTGTCTTTATATTTACTTTAGTATTCTTAGTCCGTTCTTATTTCAAGACCGTCTTAAGTAATGTCTTAAGATGCTAATACAGCTCTATGATTGGTATATGACATCTTAAGATTGTACTTAAGACGGTCTTAAATATAAGAACTGACTATGAATACCGGCTTAAAACCCGTATCAGTCTACGGGCGTTTTCCAGCAAGGTATACAGAGTATGTTTCCATCGAGGATTCGAATCGGGTCAGAGTCGAGTCAGAGTCGGGTTGGGATGAGCGTTCTTACGGTGGAAACATCCCATTGGGTAGAGTTCAACTTTAAGTTTGGTGTTTCCACCGTAAGAACGCTCATCCCAACCCGACTCTGCCTCAACTCTGACCCGATTCGAATCCTCCGATGGAAACATACTCACAGATCTAATTTTCACCAAAGTCGTCAATCCGATTCTGTTTCGGTGCGCATCGAATTTAACGTACTGTTTCCACTGGAAGTAGAATAGAAGTGAGGAAGATTGATATTTCAGTAGAGCCAACTTAACTTTTGCTTGTGAATGTAAATAAACATAATCCATGACAAATTTCTCGTTTATTTTCCATTTGATAATTAATACAAACAAACGGTAACTGTTACGAACATCAACATATAGACTATATATCGACTATATATTGATGGTTACGAAATAATGAAAAGTAAAGGTTGGCACCATCTACTTTCAAGCGTTTCCATCGTCTAGATTTCGTGTCAATTTGCTGCCACTCCGACAAAGCTTGTAGATCGGAGTGAGAGTGAAATGAACGCAGTCAGTCGTATTTCCACCGACTTAAATTTAGTCCTACGCCGCACTAGATGCGAATTAATACTTCGGTGGAAACTAGACCAGTGTACTACACATTATCACGCGATTGGCTATATTTTAAATTTCTTCATTTGACAGCCAATCATGTGATAATGTGTAATACACTGAGGCCATATTCTTGAAAAATATCGCATACGATATTTATCATTGCGCAGTTATTTTCCGATACGTTTTAGTTGCGCAATGACAAATATCGTATGCGATATTTTTCAAGAATATGGCCCCTGTGTCATCTGTGTACCTTGCTGCAAAACGCCCTACGTATTGAAAATTAAAATTTGACCAATCAAGATAAAAGGAATTAATATTTCCTTGTCCTGATTGGTCAAATTTCAATCTCAATGCATNNNNAAAAAAAAAAAAAAAAAAAGAGCTTGTCTATCAACATTTTACAGATTAGGATGTGTGAAAGAAACTGAAGAATTACATATAAAAGAATTGGAAAAAAGGACGAGAAGTGCGAACGTCCATGACTATTTTCAGAATTATTTTCGGTTGGATAATTATTCCAAAGCCATAAAATTTGAAGTGCAATACGACTTGAATACAGAAACTATTAATCGATGTTTAACACATAATTATCGAAAATGAAAGAATGATGAGTATTCTCTAATGGACAGAAAGAAAGCTCTCAAATATCGTCACTCTCTTTGGACTGATAAAAATATTATTACAAGAGAAATTTTACTGAGTACGCTATAACCTTAGAATGACACGTAGAACTCAGCCAATATTAATAGTATGAAGTTGCACATATGCTTGCTACATGTCCTTTTGTTATTATTTAATATTCTTTTTGTATCAAGCCATGATCATTTAAACAACATCTTTGAAAAATATGATAATGTTACTACTAAATCTCTACTGTATGATGTATCTTCAAGCACTTCCTGCTGTGATATGCAGGAGGTAAAAGTTATATTTTCTTCTAGCATAGTTGAAAATGAATACATAGTTAAATTTAAAGGTTATTACAAAGCAGATGTACGAGAGAATTACTTAAAAGCTGTGTTAAGCTCATTTGATATTAAAAATTGGAAAATTATACCCCGTAATAATGCAGCATCCAAATATCCTAGCGACTTTGATATTGTGAATTTAAAAGAAATAGATCAATACCAAGCGTTAAAAGCTCTAAATAACCATCCACTTATAAAAACAGTGACACCTCAAAGACTTATACATAGAACTTTAAAGTTTATTAACACAAGTGATTCTTACGTCTTAGCATATGAAAACTCCAAGAAAAGGATCAATAATCTCCCTTTTTCTCATGTAAGTTCCAAAATTATCAATATTCTGAAGAGTATTATGTCAAACTGAGACAACTTTGTATATGTATGAGATTTTAGTATTAAATATAACAGAAAATTTCAGAAAATTCAACTTAGACAATCAATAAATCGACATACATCTAGAAGATTATTAAGAGTTATACCAAGACAGATTACAAATATACTTGAAGCTGATACATTGTGGAGGATGGGCATTACTGGAAAAAATATAAAAGTAGCAATATTTGATACTGGACTTGCTGCTAGTCATTCACATTTTAAAAACATCAAAGAAAGAATAAATTGGACAAATGAAAATACTCAGGAGGATGGTCTGGGTCATGGTACATTTGTAGCAGGTGTTATTGCATCATCTTCTAATGATTGTTTGGGTTTTGCTCCAGATGCAGAGCTTTACATTTTTCGTGTTTTTACGAATGCTCAGGTATCTATTTCTCATACTTTTTTTACTTTTAATTTTATGAAATTATTTTATATAAAAAATTTCATCAACAGAATTGTTTAAAATATTATGTAAACAAAATAATATGGCATACAAACACAAATTAACACTTATATTGTTATGTAATAATATATTGTTATCTAATAATATCTTCAAATTTATGGCAGGTATCTTATACTTCATGGTTCTTGGATGCATTTAATCATGCTATATTTCGTGAAGTAACAGTGTTAAATCTAAGCATTGGTGGTCCAGACTTCATGGACCAACCATTTGTTGATAAAGTATGGGAAGTTACAGCTAATGGTATCATTATGGTATCAGCGATTGGCAATGATGGACCTTTATATGGGTAAATAAAATAATATTACAATTTCTATATTAAAATATTTAAAAAATGATTCATACAAGAATTAGAAATTTGTATTATCAAATATGAAAATTGCTTCTATCTTTAAAAAAATGACTTCGACTTTTGTTAATTGAATACTTTTATTTAGTTTAATGAATATTACTCTCTAAAGCCCTCTCTGATAAGCATTCCTTTTTTTACTATCTTATATATTTAGAAAAAAAGTATGAGTATTGATTTGTACATATTTGTATGTCATGCTATTTTGTTTATATAGCACCTTAAATAATCCCGCCGATCAAATGGATGTAATTGGCGTAGGAGGCATTAATTGGGATGATCAACTAGCGAGATTTTCTTCGCGCGGTATGACCACATGGGAATTACCATATGGATATGGTAGAGTTAAACCTGATCTTGTCACATATGGATCAGGGGTAAGAGGGTCCGCTTTACAGAACGGGTGTAGACCTCTTTCTGGTACTTCTGTTGCTAGTCCTGTTGTTGCTGGTGCAGTTGCATTATTAGCTAGTGCATTTGTACAAACAAATGAATCTAGACTTATTAAAAAGAAGGTAATTAGATGCATCAATTTTCCACGTTCATGATTTGACATACAGAGCATTATGAAATAAAATCTTATTGTGTGTGCTGCTTATAATAATATATAATAATAAATTTTTATAAGATAACCCCAGCAAGTATGAAACAAGCATTGCTAAATTCAGCCCGCCGCTTACCTGGGATTGGTATGTTCGAACAAGGAGCGGGAAAATTAGATCTCCTACGAGCGTTTCGTTTTTTACAATCCTATACCCCTGTTGTTACACTCAACCCAAGGTAAACTTTTCTTTAAATATAAAAAATACATTCTTTCTTGTTTACTATTTGATCTTAATATCTAAATATTGAGTATCTAACTGTATAAATTGATCATTGTTGCATGCATGTGTATGTGTAATTATCATTTATTTTATTCTTTCCAATGAAAAGATCATGACTTTTATCATCTCTCTCAAACCAAGTAATATTTCTGTCTAAAAATTTTTTTCGAAAATGTGTGTATTATTTTTTAAATATCTTTAGCAAACATTTAAAATAGACTATTCTGTATATTGATATGTATGCCATATGTGTATGTATATTGGCTATATATATAAAATAAAAATAATAATTAAATAAATAATATTAAGCAATATTATATAAAATCTTGATTATTAATGATGCAGTAATTAATTTCTTGCTTTTGTTAAATGACTAGTTATATAGATTTGACAGAGTGTCAGTATATGTGGCCGTACTGTACTCAAGCTATGTACCATACTGGTATGCCAACAATAATCAATATAACTATAATAAACGGTTTGGGTGTAGCTGGAAATGTAGTAAATCTTACTTGGCATCCGTACGTCGGTAACGGCAATGGTGAACGTATTGATGTAGCAATGACATATAGTGATGTTTTATGGCCATGGTCAGGCTGGTTAGCAGTTGCTATAACGGTTCCATCAACATCTCAGAACTGGCAAGGCATCGTACAAGGTTTATAATATTAATTTTATTTCTAATAAACCATATATGTATACTATAATAGATTATATTTTTAGGCCATATCTCACTCACAATTGAGAGTGATGGAGCAGGTAAATCACAACAATCGGTAGTAAAACTTCCATTACAAGCAAAAATTATACCTACACCTCCCAGACAGTAAGTACATATAATATATGATAATTGATATATATTACTTTTGAATGTATTGTATCACATGTTTTATATGTTTAATTAATTATTCATATTTCTCTCTCTCTCTCTTATTTTTTTTTCAGTAAACGTATTTTATGGGATCAGTACCATAATTTGCGATATCCGCCTGGATATTTCCCCAGAGATGATTTACGTGTAAAGCATGATCCGCTCGATTGGAATGGAGATCATATACACACTAATTTTAAAGACATGTATCAACATTTACGTAATGCTGGATATTATCTCGAAGTGCTAGGCCATCCATTTACTTGTTTTAATGCGAAGAATTATGGTACTCTACTTATTGTAGATACAGAAGAAGAATTTTTTCCTGAAGAAGTATGCATTTACCAAAAGATCATATTTCTTTTTGAGCCTTTTATGTATATACATATTAGCATGACAAATTGTTTTCAACTGCAGGTAGCTAAATTAAAGCGAGATGTAGAAAATGATGGTCTTTCAGTTATCATATTTGCAGACTGGTATAATACAACAGTCATGCAAAAAATCAGATTCTATGATGAGAATACTCGTCGATGGTGGATACCTGAGACAGGAGGTGCTAATATTCCAGCTATAAATGATCTTCTTTATCCTAATTGGGGTGTGGCATTTGGTGATGACGTACGAAGTGGTCAGTTCACCCTTGGTCAACATGCGCCAGTTACATTCGCGTCTGGCACTACACTAATTAGGTAAAGAATATTGTGCACGGAAAACAGCTTTTAAAAATTCTATACAATAAGATTTTATATGTATCCCCAGATTTCCAAAGGATGGAATCATTCTATATGCAGAGTTACATGATCAAGGTCAAGAATTCCTGGAAAAAGAATCAGGAACATCTACACTTGTACCAATTCTTGGACTTTTACAAGTTGCTAGCAAAAAAGATATTGAAGCAGCACATTATGATGAAACTAATAATGAAGCACCAGCAGATGAGAATAATAAAAAGAATTATATAAAAAAACAGACAAGTACTATGCCTGGTAGACTCGTTGTTTATGGAGATTCAAATTGTATTGATGACAGTCATTTACAAAAATGTTTGTATTGCAAGAACAGAATATTGATGTTATAAACAATCAATATTAAAAAAAAATTAATATTAAATAATATTACATTTTATAGATATTATCTCAAGTTTTATAACTTTTTTAATAAATATTTTACAAGTTATAATATGCATCATTTTTAGCTTGTTTTTGGATGCTTGATGCTATCTTAGAATACACGACAACAGGTTATATACCTACTATTTTTATGAATGAAAATCAAAGAAAACACAAAACTATTAAAACAACTAGTAATATAGAGATTGGAAAATTACCACGTCGAATGGAAGGAAATCATTTTAGTCATCATAGTAAAGTATTGATGACCAATGGGCCAGCAGGCACTTTCAAACCTCTTCCATTATGCCCCATCCCTATTTATGCTGTACCAGTGTTAGTCAACGAATCTGTGCCAATGTAAGTTATTTCATACTTTTGCATATATACATGTCGATTCAATTTTAAATATTACATAAACTTTGTACTTGTCAAATATTTTTTGTTCTAATCTTAACTCTGACAAAGTAAATGTATGTTAGATAAAAATAGTCGAAACATTAAGTTTGAAATCGTAATTAAATTTTAATTGCTCTATAATTATAAAGCAAATATAGATAAAATAGAAGTTACAGTTTAAAAAAATGGACGACTCTGATGCAGTGCTCAAGCAGATTATATATTTATTTTATCATTATTACTTGTCCTCAGATTTTTGTAGGTTCTGTATATATTTGAATATTTTCTTTATATTTATAGAAATCTTTACAAGCCCCAAAAACTATTATCTGTAGGAGACACTATAAGCGCAGTAAATTCAGTACTACAGGATACAGAGACTATGTGGCTTAAAAGAAGAGTTGGGGGTGCTAGTATTCCTACAATGCAACATCTTGACAGTGACATTAGTTATGATGTGACAGAAAATCATGGAGATAATCGATTGGTTGGATATAAATTGAAATATATAGCAGTAATGATTATTATAGTGATATTTATTGTGTATCTATTAAATCGATGGAAATGTTTGGGGTCAAAGAGACATTCTTGCAGAAAACGTACAATTGTCAAAATACGTAGAGTCATTCAAACTATTGCTATGCGTAAAATACCTGCACAAATGTAATTTTATAATTTTATAAGAATTATCACACTATATTATATATAAAATACAATTAATACTAATAATTAATATAAATTTTTTAGACATTTATTTCAATTCTAAGAACTATATGAATTAGTAAAGAGAATTTATATTATGTGCCTTTAAAATGTATATCCAATGTAAATTTGTTGATAATATCAATTATTTTGATAAAAGTTGCCTTTATTTACCCTTATTAACCTCTACTAAAATTATACATAATCAATTTAAAATTAAAATTAAAATTAAACATTTTACTTTATTTTTGAACTTATAAATCTCTAAATTATTGTTTTCACTTATAATTGTTTTTTCATTTTTTAAATAATATTTTCAACAAAATAATTTTGAACTTTTATATATATATATATAATTAGTTATAAAATGGATTATAAGTAATCCAATGTGCTCTATCTTGGTCTGCAGCTGATTTATGAGTAGTAAAGATACTTTTAAAAACTTCTGATGCCTTAGGATCTTTTGCAATGCTATAATCGCTTTTAGCTTTTCTGTAAGCAGGATCATTAGCTTCACTTTGATCATTACTGAGCTTAGGTATTACTTTGTCCTCCTTTTTTATCTTTTTTTTAAGTACTTCGTCCATTTTCTTTTCTTCTGTCAGTTCATCATTGCTTAACTTTCTTTTTTTCTTTTGGTTAACTTTCCTAACTATTGCACGTTTCTTCATAAGTTCTAGATCATCACCTTCTGCATTTAATATGACAATGTCCATTTCTTCAAATGGTTGTTGACATTTGTGACACGTCTATAAGAAATTTGACATTTTGTAAATCTTGTTACGATCTCAAACTCACATTTAGTTAATGTCTCTCCATTTTACTAATACTAGATTTTTTACTTACCATACTCTTCACTTCTTTGAGAGCACGTTCACTCATCACACAACCACACGACCATAAGAAACAAAATTTGTATTTCCCATTCATTTCCAAACCAATCACTGGACAAATGTATGGACTTTTGCCTCCATCTGTATAACCATCTCCTTTTTCAGCTTTATCACCATCAAATGCACGGTTTGGTGTCAAATTGAGGTTCCTTACATCTTTCAAATGTTTAATATGTACAGCAGATTCTGGAAGCGTATTGCGATCTAAAAGACCTTCTAACACAGATTCCTTGCTATATAAGCGACCCAAACTGCAACCCACAATTGGTAGTTGTAATGGCAATTGTCGTATTGTGCAATGCTTCCATTTGAAAGCTAGCTCTGCTTGCTTGTCTTTCTAAAAATAATTAAGTATTAATTAAATATTGTTTTCTTGTAGATGATAATGGTACACAATGCAATATATGTATGTGAATGTATATGTATATGCAGATAGACACATATACACGGAAAAAGAAAAAGGAAGATATCAAAAAAATTTAATTAAATAAGCAGTATTAATTTTTATTATTATACTGCAAATATGATTATGCCATAAACTACGGAATAACTGGAGTCAAAGAAAGACATTAAAAAAATTAAAATAAAATTAGAAGTAAACAAATAATGTTAAAGTAAAAAAATTCCCAATTTCTAGATACTCAAAAACAATTCCATAAAATTCAATATTTGGTTTTTCTACAAAACAACAAACAAAATTATATCAATTCTTTTTAGTCTTACCTGTTCAGGTTTTTTTTTTACTCTAACGAGCTCATCTCTACGAGGAATAGTACCACCATCGCAACCCATAACAGTTTTTATAATTTGCGAGAGTGAGAGAGAAATATATATTTACAATATATTTTATTGTGAAAATATTGTAAAAATCGTCGCACAACCAATGTAATATTGCGATAATATTATAAAATTTAGCAACTAAACATATACAATCATAGACATAGTAAAGACTGCTTAGAGCTATCACCACAGACTTCTATATATTACTAGACCGCTAACTCCTACGAAATCATGGCCCCGAAAAGTATGTACACACATGCGCACACAGCACATACACACAACAAACCATAGACATAGTATATCTAGACCGAGAGAGAACGCAAGGGGCACGAAACAGAGTATGTCCTTTTCTACGTGCATCTTGGACTAGTGAATAGTAGAGATGAGCGATGTTGAAAAAAAAAATCGACCATCAAATAA